CTGGCCAAAGAGGCTGTTTCCCCAGCGGGAGGGATGTCAGCCTGGCCAGGCAGGTTTGTCCCCAGGGTGCTCTAAGGCCACTGAAGTCCCTCTGATGGTCAAAGTTTGCTCAGTCGCTTTACTCTCCCGTTTCCTCGAGAACAGAAGAGACCTGAGCGAGTGCGGGAGCGTAAAGCAGAGCCTCGCCTGCAGACAGGCTCAGGGGAGCCCTTCCCAGCCGAACCGCCTCCGGGGTGGGGAAGGTTGAGGAGCCCTGAGCCCTCCCCGTGCCGCCCATTGGCCACGGAGGGTTTGCTGGGGCGCTGGTGGGCTCCTCGCCTTTCCTCCCAGGGATGAAGCGTGTGAGGGCAGAGGGAGACCCCCCCCCAAAACAGCCTGCCTTTCATCTGTCAAAAACTGGCCTTTGGAAAGCACATGGCCACAGCTCCATCTTGTGACTGAACTCTCCTAGCTTGGGAAAAACGAGCGGTGCTGCCCAAATCCCATGAAGGACCTGGTTTCTCGGCATGGTGTTTTCCCCTGCAGGCACCCCAACCTTGGTTTGCTTTGTCTTTCCCCACTTTAAATCTCAAGATGCCCTCAGCAACCGCAACCTCTCCTCGGGCTTCCACACACGGTGCAGGCAAAATCAGAGCTGTACAGCTAAAATAAAACGCCTGCCCGTCCTTTCTGGAGGTAAGCTTTTGCAGGAACTGCTTTAAGAGCTGTGTGTGCAAAAGCGAGAGTGAGAGGGGAGGTTTCAGTTCCCGCCTGGCAGAGCCCCAAGCGCAGCGTGAGAAGCCGATGCAGCCCTGCCTGTAGCATGGAGAAGGGCCTTGTGCTCGAGCGCAGCGACCCAGCCTGGACCGAGAGCAAAACCAGCCCCTGCCTGGGCTTGCTCTACCTGGATAACTCTCCTGGGAGCTTAGCGAGCATGTTTCATGTACCAATTACCCAGGTGGGACCTCATGTCTTCCACAGATCATACCAGTGCCGCCACATTTGCATCCCTTGCCAGAATTAAACCTCATGGTAGAAACGTGCATTTCTAGGATTAAACTTCCCTCTCTACTAGCCAAGTGCTTTACACTTATTCTGCACATGTGCTTTAACTGTTCAAATGCAAGCAATAGCTTTGGCGTTTTTGATAACATAAAAGCCGTAAGAGAAGGCTGGAAGGCCAAGTATGCTGCCGGGACCAAGGGGTTTTTCGATAAGATCTGGCAGCATTTTGTCATCCACCATCCGTAGCACACGGCCATTCAGCTCAATAGACCTGCAGAGGGACAGAGAGACTGTTTGGGCAGATGTGCTCTGTTTGCCATCGAGCACAAACAGCTCTGGGCCCAAGTGTAAACACAAACCCAGCCCAAAGCCAAACTAAACTTCCCTTGCGGCTGTATGTGCATACAGACACAGAGCATCTGCTGCGCTCCCTCTGCAAGGGCTCCTTTAGAGTCGTAGCACAAGCAAGTTTAAAAGTACACGTTTCTTACTCTTCTAGTGAGGTTAACAGCAGAACAGGCTTCGAAAAGTACAAATTGTAATTAATTTCTCTCATACAAATATTAAGATGTCTTCTATACCCACAGAGCAGATCCCACCTGTGCCAATGCATTAGTGGTAACAACAAAAGAAACCATACAAAGCCTGGGCACATTGCTGTAAGTCAGGAGCCAGCACTTGGGAAAGCAACATACCCATGCTTGTGCAAAAAGAAAAGGACTTTAGCAGCTGGTCCAGCGCCCTGAAGCCTGCTAGGAAAAAGCCTCCCGGTTAACATCAGACAAGTGTGCTCGTACCTTAGCAAGTTTTCAGCAGCCTGATTTTAGGAGACCTGATTTAACAGAAGTCAGACCTTACTGAAAAAAAAACACCCAGATGACTGAATGGTAACCTACCCGCCCCGCCTTGCAGATCGAACAAGGTGAGGTTTTAGAGGCCATCTAACTCTACTCACAGTCCTTTCTATGGAGACAGGAGGAACTGCACGCTTACCTGGAAAGTAAATTCTCTTTGCCATGAGGCAGTAAGAGGTACTGATCCACATGCTTGCTCGATAAGTAATTCGGTAGCTGCAAATGTTGGGTAACATTGTAGAGGTTTAAGGCAAACAGCGTCACGTCCCCTTCTCTGTACTTTGGGCTGCAAGGCAAGAGAAGATGGTGGTGGGGATCAGGAGAGAAAGAGGTTCATAGAAATAACGTGTGTCCTCGCGCTGTCCCAAATGGCTTTTGTTGGCCTGGGGGTGGCTGTGGGCTCAGTTTCTGGGATATCTTGCCCTTTCTGGAGGCTTACTGGAGGGTGCTTGTGCAGTGGAGGTAGACGCGGAGCTTCTTCTCGTCGGCTCCCTCCAGGCCGACCTGCAGCACCTTGGTACCCATCAGCTTCTTGTAGAGCAGCGAGAGCCAGTAGTCCTGGGGGGCACAAAACCACACGTAAGCACTTGGGTACATGCCAGGTATTCCACACCATGCTTAACGTAACGTTCATTTTGCTGGTAATTTCAGGGTTTTTTTTCACCGTAATTTTTTGCTTTACCAAGTTTTTCACCATGTCTATTTAAACTCCCACAAACAGCATAGCTAAAGAGAAAACCCTGCCTCCAAGCTGCAGAGCAGCTGTGTTTACAGGGTGGCTTAGAGTCCTCTTCCCCATTTCGTGCAAATCTGGGAGCTCTTTCTGTGAGGGAGAGATTGTTTGAATTTTGTAAACACCCTTCTGCAGGGTACAGAGCTGGGGCTGAACCCCCAGGGGATGAGCTGCCCTTCCTGCAGGAAAGCTAGTGCACAATCCACGGGCGCAAGGCCGGGAAAGAAGTCCCTGACAATTTTTATGCCTTTCACTAACATCGTGCTTTTGAACAGGTCTCAGGATTAATTTCTGAATGCCAGTCAAGAGTAAATCCTCTGACACCCCAGGACAATGCCCGAGAGCAGGGTGATGCCCAGTGCAGACTCATTTTTTCCAGGTGTGCTTTTTCTTGCATCTTGACCACTACTTTTCTTCTGTGAAGTCTGTGACCATACCAAAGGGAGCACATGGTCTGTGCAGATGTGTCTGGGGACTAGGAGGCCACAGGCAGGCTGCATTTTGCAGCACCGCCTCTTTGAGCGCAGCCCCATGGGGAGGATGTGCTCCAGCTGGCGGGTTTCAGAGGGCTTCTCCCAGCTCATCTGGCTGGCTGGCTTTGAGGTTTTCCTAGAAGGAAAACTGTCGTGTTTCTCTCCTGACTCACCACGAGCCCGGGGAAGTGACTTTTCCTATCAGCCTGCATGCTCAGCCCCTCTGCAAGGAGGTGCAGCCTGCTGACACTGCTCTGCTTCTTCATTTCCACGCTAAGTAAAACCGATGGACCCGGGTTTGGATTTCCCTGCCTCTAAAGCATCATTAGCTTGATTAGCATCTGTACTGCCTGTAGGTGAGGAAAAAGGCAGATCCTTTCAGTCCAAATTAATTCTATTTTAGAAGAGGGAATAAAAAGCCCAAAGCAACAAGCCTGACAATGCAGCCCCTGGCACAGGGACCAGCTGAACAGGCAGGACAGAAAAACCCCAGTATGCTGGGTTTCTTCTCAGAGGGTCTCTACGAGCCTGTGAAAAACACAACTTGGAAGCAGAAAAATGAGAGGAAAGCTAAAAAGAAGGATGCTGTCCTCTCACCCCAAGGTGAGTGCTACTAGCACAAAGAAACATGCTGTACATGCAAGAACAACGCATCGTTCAAATAATGATGTGTCAGCAGAATTTCCTAATGAATCCAATGATACTAAATGCATGTTTTCATTTAATTATCCTTCAACCACTACTAAGGGCTAAATATGCTCATGACCTAAGAAAAGGTTGAGTCTTGACTTCACATGGGTTTGGTTTTCACTCAGGATATAATTTATTATAAAGTATCACTTCCGTTTAAAAGCTACTCATTACGCAGCTGAGGAGTACTCAAACCAAAACAGTCCACCCAGAAAAGCCTTGTGAACTCTAGAACTGTCTGCATACAAATCAGAGCATCATGTCCCAAGAAATCAGTCTCTGCTGTGCTGAAGACTAGCTGCATCCCTGCAGTTGCAGTAAATATCTCGTATTTATATATATATATATAAAATACATGAACCCATAATGAAGCCTGCAACTATCCTACAAAACCTGTTGCTATCTTGCATTGTTAAAATAGCTGACTTGTATCTCCACATCCAGCGTTGCCTGTGCAGAATTACCTGCAGCATTCAGAGGGTGTTAGCAGGGTTGCATACATACCGGCAAAGGCTCAAAGTTGGCATCCACCAGGTGGTAGCTCCCTGCCCCAAAGAAAACCTGTCTCATCACCACGTCAATCCCCTTCCTGGCCGAAAGCCCGAGTTTGTCCAACCACCTGCCAAAAAAAATGTGGCAAACAACATGCAGATGAAATTGCTGACCTCAACTGTACACCGTTGCCCCTCTCCAACCAGCTCGGGAAGTAGGAAAGCAGGAATTAGAGCATGATGCTGGCTTCCCTAAAATCACACAACTAACTTCAATTCAAGTCTTGCACTGATTACCTTAAAAAATAATTTCAGACTACCTCTGGAGGTCCAAGCTGGTGGGAACAATTGCTCCACTCCCCTGTTTGCAGGTGGTGTAAACCAGGGGTGGCAGTGGATGCTCCTGAATTGGCCAAGGGCCTGAAGGCTGAGAGAAATCATCACACCAAAGACTAGGTTGCCTGCCATTACCAGGCTTTGACTTGTTGACCCACAGACCCCGATGAAAAGATCATCCTGGCTTACAGAAGGGGAAAAAATACATTGCAGCCATGGTTTTGGTTAATTTTCAAAGTGTGAACCACACATTCCCATGCAGTTTTATCTCCCTGAACCTACAGACTGATCAAAGTGCTAAGAAAAGCCTGAATTCTTTTATTCCAACAAAATGCTACAACTAAAGTCCTTGGAGAAAACTATTTTCATGACTAAATTTCCCTTTGGTTAGTTATTTCAGGGTAGCCAAAGGATGACATTGGAAAAGGACCCATCTCCTGAATGACTTAAATCCTCACAAAAGAAAGGAGTTAGCATTGCAGATCTGAGGGCAGAAATAAAACTTTCTCATGCTTCTTGTCCCCCATTTCCCATAGGAATCTGCTATTACCAGGCCCTACATCCAACCTCAGGCATGGGAAGCACACAGGGAGTGGTGGGAGGGTTACCATCCCAAACCTACCCATTGCCTGTGCTCCCCGGGAAGCCCGAGGGAGACATTCCTTCTGTGGGGCATGCACACAACCCCCTTCAGCTGCTAAAATGTGTAATTTCCCCACACCTGTGACACAGCACTCACATGAAGCCAGCAACATAAGTGTTGGACAGCTTGGGAGCTCCCCCTCCATAGGCAGAGCTTGTCTCTCCCAGCCAGACCTTCTTGTCGGGCACGGTCCCATCAACAATCTGGCCAGTGTGGCGTAGGGAAGAAGAGAAAGAAGCAACAGTTACGTTTTTTGGCTACTGAAATAACAGGCAATCAACATTTTGTGCTTTACCAAATGCCTATGTATGATGTTTGCATTTAAGGGATAACACCAACTTAGGTGGGATGTCACAGAAATTTTGATCAAAAGGACTTAGAGGCAGATTTACATTCCCCCCCCCCTTCAAAAAATCACATGTACGCATGTAGAACAAGGCAAACATCACTAAAAGCCAGGTCCTGTAAGTCTTCTTGTGCTGACTAGTGGTATACTCTAAGTTATACTGTACTCATGATCAAAAAATACAAAGAAACCGGTGTGGGTGGGTGGGTAGGTGTGACCATAAATTACATCCTGAGTAATGACTACATCAGTAAATGAGAACGCTGTAGGTTCATGATGTATCTGGCACCATGCTTGCTGCATGACAAACTATAAGAGCTCATTTATTATGAGTATTGTTGATTTATTTTTTTTTTTAATTTACAGTGACAGCAGCACCCAAGTTTTGATGATCCCTGTTTATTGCTAGTGAGAAATTGTACTTTATTCCACATTCTCTGCTAACCCCCTGGAAACTGAACATGGGAATGATTGAACAGGACAAGGCACCTCCAGGACTTCTTGTACAGCTGTGGGAAAGGTATCCAGCACTTCAGGGCTCAGGAAATCCTCCCTTGTTGCACTTCGTCCGTTCACATAGTAACTGGAAATGGAAAAAAAAAAAAATCCCACAGCCAAAATTAAGGAAAAATACCACCATTGGTACAAAACACCACCAGAAGTACTCAGTTGCTTGATACATTTATCCACAGCACTATTTTTCTGTCTGGTTCTTTTTCTTTTTTTTTTTTGTTTGTTTTCCAAATATGTAGGTATGTTGTTTGTATTTAAGGGTCTATCAGGTATCCCGATGGAGGCAGGATATCACAGAAATTTTGATCAAGTAGTAGGGGGTTTTCGCGCGTACTCATTTAGAACATGGAAAACATAACTGAATAAGTGCCAGCTTCTGTAAATCTTCTCTTGCTGAGGAGCCTGACACTCCTATGTAATTACTTTACTGTATCAAGTCATATATTAAAAATATCAGACCCCAGCTTCTGCCCCTCCGTCGGCGTATTTTGGCCATCTGGAGGGGAACAGGATGGAGGCATCCCTACAGGATGAAAGTTGCCCTCCACCATGAGCAGAAGAGCTTTTAAGTCTGGTTTGTCCAAAAAAAGAATGGGAAATTGGGATCCCTGTGGTTTTTGCATTTCATCACGCTATCACTCAGTCCTACCAGAAGCAGTAGCTGAAGTCTTCCAGCCACAAGAGGAAGCTAAAACCCAATAATCCTAAATTAGTAAAGAAAATAGCACATGCCCATTTAAAGCGAAGGCAGTCACAGGGCAAGAACAGCCCAGGAAGGACAGAGGACATGTTTTATGCCTTGCTAGCAGCTCAAAATACACAGATAAGTCATATATGTATACATACGTATATAGCATAAGAACATGCATCTTTTCCCACTATTACCTGACTGCTGCATGTCACCGTGCTGTATTCGACTCCGGAAAGAAAACCACCTTTATCTGGAAATCACTTTCAAACGTGGAATTCACAGCAGGTGCCCTGGGGCCAACTTACCCCACTGCCAACCCGAGCACTTCAAAATTGCATCTGTAAGCCGCGGCACAAGAGTGAAGGGCTGGGACTGTGCTGGTGCTGTCTGCACTGCAGGTGGGATCTGAAGGCGAGTTACCCCCAGCCCAAACTGACTCGGAGAGCAAACTTACGGGAGCAGGAGAAGCTGCTAGCACTTTGCCATGGGTAAGGACCAGACAGACCTGCAGGGCTTTTTGTTTATATCAAACAGACATAAATAGAGAAAAAAGGCAGCATGTAACACATCAGCTAACAAGACTTCTGCTGCATTTTTGACAAGGAGTTGAGTGCATTTGCCAGCATGGTCATCAGTGACTCCCTGAATTTGTTTTTAGGGAGTGAAGCTTTCACTCAAGCAGATTCAGCCTTTCTAATGCCAAGGAGAGCACCAATGCTGGGGGTACTGACCGCGTTTCAAAGCCCAGGCACCCCTGGGTTCTTTAAAACCTTACGTTAAAAACCTTCTACTCCTGCAGAAATTCCGCAGAGGCGTCTCTGCCGAGTAAGTATGAGCTATCTTCTTTGCCTTTGATATGACACCTCCTTCTTCCCATGGAAAAGTGCGTTTTATTTGCAAGCGTTGGCAACTTGGAGCTTTGAGACAACCGGGACAGCTGCTCAGATCTCACCGGCTTTTGGTACTTGTTGAAACGTGGCAAATGCTCCGCCGCTGCAGAAACTCTCCTCGTGCGGGGGAGAGCCGTGACCTACCCCCTATCTCCTGAGAAATAAAGCTGCTGTGGCAGCTTTTTCTCCACATACCACTTCTGTTTTTCTCAGTGCACATATTTACCAAGCAAAATGACCGCCTTGCACACATCACACTCCCCGCTGCTGTGCTTCTGTTAGAAACCCCCGCCACTGCTTTACGACCTCTGCACCAAGTGGCCTCTTTGGGGACCTGCATTTCTGTAATGCGCCCCCTTGATTCATCTCTTACTCTGAGCAGAGGAGTTTGCAGAGAGACACCCGAGGAACCGCTGAAAGGGGTATTTCACCCCCTCCCTCCTGCTGAGGTGTTCAAATTGACGTTTTGCAAAGAAAAGCGGTGACGAACAGAGCGCCGCTGGTATCCGAGCGGTACTTACTGGTGCCACGTGACAGAGTCGATCACCTTCCCTCCCGATTTCAGGAAGCTGCAAGCAGAGGGGATGCAGTGGAGAGCGGGGGGTTAATGGGTACCGGTCATGGCCCCCCCACGAGCGAGCTGCCTCACACAGCCTTCCCCTCTCCTCCCCGGCTGGCGGTAGCGACGGCAAACTGCTTTGGGGCCACGCTTGCGATGGATTTTAAACAGGTTTTGGACAGCCCGGCTGCCTCAGCAGGTTGCTAGGAGGATGAATTAACACCTGTGTAACACACAGAGATTTCTAGGGTGAAAAGCCCGTGTTAACACAGCACTAGAGCCAGCGCTCAACTGGAAGGCGTGCGGATCGCTGAAGTACTGCTAGCGTCTTAGTTTCAACCGGCTGAGTGTTTAAGCCTTGAGCTCATGCATGCAGGTAAGCTTTCAGTCATCCCCAGTCAAGGAAAAAAAACCTTCTGTGTTTCTAATTTAAGGAAGAATGCAGAAAATTAGTTCTCAAATAGATTGGATGTATCCATTTGTACATCCTTACTATTGATTTGGAGCAGAAAATCCTTACAACCCTGGCCAGATACCTCCTCATGCCCCCTGCACCTGGGTGCAGACAAGCCACTGCTATCCACACCTGCCCACCCGGGGGGGTGCCCCCGGGGCCCCACACCCCTACCTTCTCAGCAGCCTCTGCGTGTGCTTTCGGGGCTGCCCGACGTCGGGACCATAGAGCTTCGCATGCCGGTAGAGGGTATAGTTACTCAGAAGTTGGCGTAGGTGAATAAAATCCTGCCCCAGCTGGAAGCCGTCAATGTAGATACCAGATTTCTTCCTGAAGCTATTGGGCTCTGGGGAAGACATGCGCACATCAGCACCCTGCTCTAGTTTTGGGGCACAAAATAGGGCAGCTCATTCCACGCGGGGAGCACCAATCCCTTATGGCTTCACGAGATCTGGCACAGTATGGGTGAGATATCCGAAGGCGATGAGCATGAAACTGAAAGCCCAGGTGACACCACATGCTGCTCTCCAGCACTGTCCCAGCCAGTCCCCATAGGTGACATCCCGCACCTTGCAAGGTGTCATTCACCTCGTCTCAGAGCCTTGGTAGGAGCAGCAAAATCATCTCAATTTGCTCATTCACTGGGCCTTCTGTGAAATCCCTCCTTGCAAATTAAGACCTTAATGTTTCCCAATAAAACACCACCTTGCCTTTATAGGCCGTCATCCAAAACATCCAAAATTACCAGCCCATACCCTGCGGGGGTACTTTTCCAGGTGACTGCTGGCCTGGCCCACAAGTAGGCTTTGCACTCACCGTTTCCAAGCTCCCAGGAGATGTTGTACCTCCGCGAGGCACAGTAGTCCAGCAGCGCCTGGGCGTTTGAGCTGTCCCACTGCAAGCCATCTTTCCGCAGCAAGGCGTTGAGCCCGAAGATCAGGTGAAACCCCGAGCAGTTTGCAAAGCTGTAGAGAATATCCAGCGTATTTCCTGTGCGGAGGAGAAAGGGGGGATGTTCATCTCAAGGTTACGCCGTGCTAGTTGAGCTCTGGCCAAGCAACAATCTTTACTGCCTGTATTTATTTAGCCTGGTGCTGCAGATGCGCCAAGCTCTCCCAGACGGACAGAAGAGCCCAGACCTTACTACACACCACCCTGCAAGGTGTTGAGATCCTCCCAACTCCTGCAGCAACTGAATACGATTAAATACAAGGTGGCAGACAGCAGAAAAAGATTTCTTAGAAACATTTCACCCACTTTGAAAAATTTTCATTTTCAGTGGTTTCAGCTCCTAACAGCCTATGACCCTTTTACCGTGGGGCAGAGATTTGCAGCCCCCTGGTTATAAACCCTAGCAGAAAAATCCAAGATCGAAGTCTTACTTGTAATGGTGGTGTTTCTGTACTTTTTCCGGTTATGCTCTGCAAGAATCAGCTTCTCCTGGCTGGGCCACTGGGCCAACAGTAGCTTTTCAACAGCAGCAAAGGCAGGGCTCGAGCCACAAGACCCTGTAGGGCAGAAGAAGAAGTTAAGTCCTCATCTTCACGGCCAGGGTCCAGTATGCAAAGGGCTGCATCCCTCAGGAGGAAGCACAAATGCTTGGTGCTGGGCTGAGCGCCAGTCGTGCGCTTCTGTGGAACGCACCCCTTTCACAATGTTAACCACATAGGAAAAAGGGGGCTGGCTTGATGCATAAATATGTATTTTATATGTAACGTATATTTCCCAATTTAAAGTGAAGGAGATGGGGGGGTGGGGGAAGACGGAGCTGTGCTTCTGGAGGCTGGTATCATGGCAGTCACACTCCAATAAACAATTCTCGCTGGAGCAGCATCCGGAAACCCTGGTTGCAGCAAGCTGACAAAGCACGGACCGCAGTGCCCGAGGAGCAGATAAGCCGTCCCGGCGTGCGGCGGCAGGGCAGGGTCCGTGGCCCGCCTTGCTGGGGGCAGATACAGGGCAATGCTTCCTGCGCTGCCCATCTCGTGCAGGGGAAAGCGCCGACTGCCCCCCGCGGCCCCAGCGGCAATGCTGGCAGGAGTCATAAGATGCTTTTTTTTCAAAGCTCATGTTCTTTCTCAGCAGGCAAACCAGGAACAAGCCATAACCAGAGAGGAAGGCACAAGCTGGAGTCACAGTTACCCAGAAAGGAGGCAGCCCCTCAGCAAAGCGGTACGGGGGGAAAAGTACCGCTCGACTTCAGAACTGAGCATCACCAGGTGTACAGCGATTGCGCTGTACGACTGCGCTGTTGCGCTACGTACCACAGGAATAGATGGGAATTTTTTCATCTAAAACACCTCTAGAAGGGCTTATGCACTTTTGCTAAGTTTAAAGAGGAAACGGACTTTAATGCAGTGGGAAACCTCGTGCACCAGGACCAAGCTCGAGCAGTTGGCAGTGGGCCGGTGGGTTTGCACTTGCCCTACTGCAGCAAGGGAAGGGCAAGGCTGCGCCCCCAGCCTAGCTCTGGCTTTGGCCAAGATAGAGAAAATGGATGCTCTGTTCTCACCAGATTATTTCTTCCATCTGTTACTTAATTTTCGTAATGAAACCACGACTTTTGAGCTGACCTTGACTGCCTCCCAGGTGGTGAGGGAGCTCCCAAGGCTGCTGCGGGGTGGCAAAGGGAGAGTCCCAGCAGGTGCTGGGGTGGACAAGAGGTCCCCTGCGCCCCTCCTCGCTTTCCCACAGCTGGCACATTTCCCCCCACAGACTGTGCTGAAGGTCCACAGACCTCCTCTCCATGGAGGAGAGCAATGCTGATCCCCAGCACTGCTGCTCGTGCCCTTGTGTCATCCCCAGCCTGCATCAAAGCCACCTCCTAAACCCAGGATGGTTTTGAGTCTAACACAGTGATGCCCATTTTACCTTGCTGGGCCTGAAGTTCCCAGAGGGCTTTTTCCTCCAAAGTTGAATCCTTGTTGGGATCAAAGATGAGAAAATCTGTCTTGGTGCCACCAAACCTCAGGAATCCTGGGGACAGGGCCGTCGCCAGGGCACGCAGTTTTGGATTGCTGAGGAAGGGATGTCAAGAAACAGAAGAAACAATATATTTGTGCAGACTATGGCTTTGATATACAGGCTAAACATGGCAAGTGCTTGGAAGGACGTGGTGCAACAGAGACACTGCTGGCCGAGTGGGCCAGGAGAGCTTCGGGGAGGCAGCGAGGGGAGGACGTGCTCCGGGAAACATGCTCACGGACAGGGAGTCAAATCCTGGGGGCAAAGTAAGGCAATACTTCAAAACAGGTGTTTTTTTGTCCTAAACATCCTTCTCCCCCTAGATGTTTTGATTTTGTTTCTACCAAACTAACAAACCAGTCCCACGAGAAGGTGGACGTAAAATCAGCTTTGCACCATCAGTCCCAATTTCCATCAGTGACAGCCAAAGCGATCGCTTTTGTACCCAAGAGAGATTAAGAGTCCGTGCTAGGACAAGCATTAGCGTTAGCGAAAGCGGGTTCATGAAATAACCTAAGCTCTGCCTCTGCAACCTGCGCACGATGTGCAGCACGGACACCCGGCCTTCGCTGGGGGAAACCGCGAGGCACGGGAGGATGCCGGGAGGACGCCGGGCGCACGAGCGCTATCTGCTCGGTGGTGACACACAAGCAGATTAGAGGCCACCAAGTACTTCCCGCTCCTGGTGGTGGCGGGGGAACCCCAAGGCGAGCTGTTTGGGCTGGAGACCTGAGCGCTCTCTAGTAAAGCTGGTGTCACCTTTCTCCCCACCTTGGTGAGGAGGAAAAGATGAACCTGGTGGGAGGAGGGAAATCAGGACTGGAGAAATATTGTGGGGCTGAAAAATGGGATCAGGCAGATGAAAGAATTAAGACAGCTTCTGAAAAAGGTAAAATCAAAAGGAATGGAGTAAGAAAAAAAATAGAGCAAAAGCAGGGAAGAAAAGGCAAGAGAGAGGGAAGAGCCAAAAGAACAGGCAGGGAACACCAT